ACATTGGGAGCGAATGTGCCTGTTAATAATGACAGATCCATCTGAGACATCTTTGGTTTAAAATGTCAGTGTATGTCAGTGTGTGTGTGTTTTTTTTTTTTTTAGAAATTAAACATAACAAAACTGCTGTAAGCTATAAACATTTAAGTTTATCTTTTGTCATGCTCAGTGGTGATACAGCTGCCCTGAGGCAAATAGACAGAGACATGGCTGCCATTCTTTGTCGATGACTATAATATGTTCAATGTTTAACCCAGAACTGAGCACATATAGTCATCAGATGTTCACGCCTTGATTTGCCTTCATTTTGAGAGAAAAATATTTCAAAATGCAGGCAGTATTTTGTAATAAATGTTGTAATAAATGTTGAAAGTTTGCTGCTAACATGAAACACTTTAAGACTTAAAATCCTACTAGTGTAGCAATGCTTGAATTACTTAATACTACAGCACAGTAACAGCATGGTAACTAAAAGTGTTACTACAGTTACTTCATTTGGTCTTCCAGGATTATTCTTAAATAAATGTTCTTTTACACAGACCATTGTAATGTTTTTTTCATATGTCATACTACTGACATGTTTCAGATGCCTTCTGCATCCGTCAAAGGGTCATGTGGTGTTATAGTGTTGACTGATTTACCAGTGCAGGCCTGGTGCCAACATTTGTGTAAATCAGCTGGCAAATCACGTCACTGTAACATCACGTGAGCCTTCAGATGAAGGATGCAGAAGGCATCCAATGTCAGTATGAAGTATGAAAAACTCATCACACAGGTCTGTTTTAGAGAACATTTATGACGTATGAAAAGCACACCACACTGTTGTGTTTTAAAGAACATTTAGGCCTACAGTTATTGTAGTTACAACAATTACATACAGGACGCACACACCTGTCATTCCACCTAGGATTAATTTCTCATAAATCTCTTTATCCCCAGTTATGATTGGTATTTCTCTCATACCACATTACTACTAAAGTAAAGTACAAACTAATATTTCTGTTATTAGATTATTTCTAATAATAACTGGTTTAATGGTTTATTAGAAAATGCAGTAGCCCATGTTTTGACAAAGTTAAGGTTGAAGTGACAATTTACTTTTATTTTTAATTATTATAACACATGCATAAAACATAATGCATTTGTAATGTATATATAAAGGGAACTGTTTTTTGGTGCTGAATTTATCCGTTTATTGTTTTCTTTTTTTATAATCAAAATATGCATTAAATATGACACTTCTTTGTGAAAGGGGGTAGACTCGAATAAACTTTGCTTCTGCCTACTCCTTTTGAGCATTGCATTTTCTGCTCAATGTATTTAAAAAAAAGTGTAGCAGCTTGCTCAAATAAAATAAATGAAATGAAAATAATGTGGTTGGAACTAATTACTTGTTGCAGGTTTTGCACCACTGGGCACTGATTCCTTCCTTTTTAGTTTTTATCACTGCAGATCTTGGGTAATGCTCCTCTCAACCTGTGGTCTGTGGTTGTTAGAATCATGCCTCTTTTCCACTTGCATACAACTTGGCAACATTTCATCCATCAACAGGTGTCATGATGTAATCTGTTTTGATGTGCACCTGCTAGAAGTATAACCGGCATTTTGACAATTTTGCAAAAGGCAAAAACTGCGAGCCCCTGCAACATGTCCTACTCGTCTGCATGAATATACGCAGAGAAACAATGAACCTTGTTTAGTTCTTGCTGATAACCTAACATGCAGAGAGCCTGTGTGTGCCCTGCTCGCCTGCCCGGGTGCCCGTCTCCTCGCGCACCCCGTTGGTTTCTATTGAGTCTATTTTTAGCTCGCGCAGACTGGTCACGTGGGGTGGAAGGACGTCAATAATGTTGTTGTTGGTGGTGGGTGCGAGGGAGGGAGAGGGAGGCACACTGTAAATATGGAGGCGGCCAAACGGTAGGAGGTGAGACGGCGATCGACTTTTCTCCCCGACTAAATTCCACGCGTTTTCATTCGGGACATTTATGGCGGATTTGGAAAAGGGACTGGGCGCACCGACGCTTTGACCGAGCAGACTCCGCGGAGAAAGCGACCTCCGCACGCGTACGCTTTCGGGGAAGAGCCGCTGACATCCACGGTAAGGGTGACTTCACGAGACGGGAGGAATGAGTATGTGAGATTACCCCGTAGAAAGCAAATAATGTCCAATAAGCTTTAGTAAATCTGTTAAATGTTTATAATAGTCAATCGGTGTTGAATTATATTTGCTAAGTTGCTGCACGCTAGCACATTCAGCTAACTTGGGAATAGTTCTCCGCTGCTATTGCTAACCAAAGTATACCTGGCAGGAATGAATGCTAACAGTGAAACTTGTGATTTTGAACAGGAATGAATCTTCTAAACCAAAGACCAGTTTATTCCCCCTGCATATCGGAGGACAGTGTTATTAGATTGCTTATAATCGAGGAACAACAAGCAAGTGACAGCTCAAAGTTGACTACTAGCCACTAAACTACCAGCACCATCAGCAGCTGCAGCCAGGAGCTAACGAGGAGGAGGAATTAATGAAGTTGTAGAGGTAATAGTTATATGCATGTGCTGTCATGGTGACAAGGGGCCAGGAGTGTCCAACCAAACAGGTACTGCTACTGCAAAGTCACCTCTCACCTCTATAGTTAAAGGTAAACCAAAAGAACTTTTATGGGGACTTTTATCAGAGTTATTTCCTGCACTGATACTGAAGATCCATTTGATTGATCTGTTTAGGATGCTGATACGAAGCATGACGTGAAGTGAAGGTGCACGAGTTGACACCCAAGGCAGAATATTATTTCATGTGTGAAGTAATCAAAGTTACTACACATTTTGATTAGATTGTACAAGCAGTGTTTGTACAACTTCTAAGCACATGCTCCAAAACAGTCGGAAGTTGGGTCATTGATTATTACATTATTATACCATAATTGTAAACATTTTTGGGCTTGCAATTCAGAATTCACTCTTTTTATTTTTCTAATTCAATTTCCCTTTAATTAAACTTTGAAGTAGCTCTCTCTGTGTTGTGCCCAAACATGTTAGCTCTTACCACTTGCTGTCCCTCCTCTCTCTCTTTGTATTTACCTACTACCTTTTTTCGTAGCTTGATGTATTTATTTAGTTGTCTTTTTTTTTGTATTTTTGTTGTTGTTGTTTTTTTGTTTTTACACAAGCTGCACTTTTATTTAATCAAGTTTAACTTTTTGCAGTAGCTTTCTTTCTTTCCAGCTGAACTTTTTTGACCCGGCTTTTTCCATCATTATCACAGGTATAATTTTGTGGATAGATACTCAAATATTGAATAAACCATGAGACACTGTAGGGGTGTAAGTCATTAGTTATTTAGTTGGTTAATAAGTCACTGGTGTCTTACTTAGGTGACTAATTATGTCATTATAATGATAAGGATTTATACTGGACAATAGTTGAAAGTAGAGGTTATGGAGTGAGTTAGCTGAAGGGTGAATTTAGTTGTGAATCTTTGTGAGTTTTATCTACTTTTTTACATACTGTATGAATACACATTTGCACTCCTGCATTAACTCCCGTGCTGTTGTAGTCTTGTGAGTGCAGGTTTGTTCAGATATAATTAGGGAAACGCCCCCTTTATAGTCGATTAATCAATCTGCAAGGCATGTCTCTAGTCAACCAAGTATTTCTTTTGTTGACTACAGCACTACTACTGTACTTTAGAAGTGTGCTTAAGAAGTTATGTTATGATGCTTGTGTTTCTCCTAGATTGCAGGTTACCATCAGGACATGTTGTTGTTAGATGCACTCCATCGAGCTTGGCATGTTTGATAATTACAGACTAGAGCAATGATGCATTCTGAAGCCCGGTCACACCTTATGTAATCGCCCAATATAAGCCTGTTCAACTCTTTTGGATATTGGCTCTGTAATTACCGCTGACGTAAAGAGGTGTGGGTATTAACAAGCCAAACCTGCAGCTTCTCTCCTTTCTTTCCTCACAGGCACCAGCTCGCCCCCCTCTCAAGTACTACAGTCACCAGGTAGACCACACAACACGTCAATGCAGTTATTTAGCGTGGTCACAAGTTTAAGTATAGTACTGACATGGCTAGCGGCGAGTCCATGCTGCAAGGCTTTCAATGACGGTGGTTGTAATAATGATAGTAAATGGTGATTCATAAGTGGTGGTGTTTGACCAGTGTCCACTCTAATGTGAGTCAACGAATGTTTTCAGGTTCAGTAAATCCTACAATTTTTTTTAATAGATTAGTTGTTTGGATTAGCATCTTGAGGATATATTGATTAAGTACACTTAAATAAAATACAAAGTTTACATATTTCCTATGCAATATACATGAAATTACTGCTTTATCAGAGTCATAATCTTTCTATAAACAGTGAAGATTCAGCCCCACGTTATGTTAATTACTATACTGTTCAATATATGAAAGAAGGAACCATAGTTTTGGGGGGGTCTGTATTTATTGGGGGTATTTTTTTCTTTGTACTAGAAAGGAACTGTTTGTTATTTTTCTGTACTATGATGAGATTTGAGGTATAGAGGATTGAATAAATTACTTCTGTTACTATTCCTTTATCGATGCAAACTAACTACAAGGGCGTCTCCTTCTGCTATAACTTTAGCAATGTTCGTTGTTTGAGAGAATCCTACTTTAGGTTTATCATGTCAGTGGCATAATTTAGTTTCAGTGTTATAATTTTTATTGGCTATATTTTCAACAGCAATATATCGCACTTCAGGCATTTTTATTGTGACAAGCCTAGTTCTTACGAAAGAAAAAAAGACAGTAAAACTAGTAGCAAACTACTAGTTTAGTTTAACCACTTTCTAATGACATAAGTTGGGCTGCATCATTTTTGAAACTAAAGGTAAAAGTAGTAGGGATTTTGATTTGATATGTTTTCTATAAGGATTCTTTTTAAACTACTTTGTAACTGCTATAAAACTACAAGAGTGACGTGCACATGTTTATAGGGGTTTAACTACAGGGTTAACAGGGTTATTTTGCTGCTTTCAGATGACAATGCTATACTATAAATTATGTAACCCTTTAATTTTATAATTGTAATTCATTGTACAATGGTAATTACAATATAACACACCTAAAAATGCTGCTCGTGCTTCTTCTGCCATAAATTATTATGAATGATTGGTTAAGTAGTTTGGTATCTTTCTGCATACCAAATGTAAGTAGCTAATCATAAGTATTATTTGTTTATTCAACAATAGTAGTAGTACTAGTAGCCGGTGGAGGAAAATAATAATTACCTCCTTGTAGGGTTTTTGAAACTACTAAAATCAGTATCGAAACTATATACTCATTTGAAGTATCAATACGATAAAGATCACATGAACAAGGCATGACCTTTCCTGGACAATAGGATGTCAAAAGTATTGAAAATCAGATTCAAATCAATACTAAAACTAGTCTTGAAACTAAATACTCATTTGAGTAGGTTTTGATACAAAATAAAATTATATTCACGTGGCAGAAATGAAACTTTCCTGAATAGCTTTAGAATGATCCTGAGCTGTATCAGAACACCACATGGTAATATAAAAGAAAGTACTATTTAAAGTTGAAAATCACACTCTTTTACTAGAAAAAGTGTTATTAATTATCATTCTGGTATCGGAATCGGTATCAACTCTATTCCTAGTATCAAAATCGAGTTTTAAATTTGTTTGTATTGTCACAACACTAATGGGTAGTTTAAAGTGGATCTTGAGCTCAGAACTAGTGTAAAACCACATGGTAACATAAATAAAGTTGCATTATTTAGTGTCGAGTATCAAGCTGATACCTTAGTAAATGAAAATACTCTGTTTACTAGAGAATGTATTTTTTTCTATGTTTCTACTCTCATGTGAAAGAGCATTTATTGATCAAGTGACGCTACAGGGATTCTTTACAATAGTCATGGGATGTCTGCGGGCAGTAAACACAGACTGAATTGTACTGTATGTCGTAGATAGAAGAGCTGGGTTAGTGCGGATCTAATGGGGCGTCTGAATGATTACAGCAGCAGGCCCAGTGTTCTCCTTAGTGTTTAATATGCAACCTGCTGCTCTGCGCTCCAAGGACATTGTGGATGTGTCAGGACTGTCATGGGTAAGCTGCAGTTTGTGAGACCAGGTGAAGTCACTACGTTACACTTGCTTCTATTTAAAACTATAAACTCGCTCCTAGTGTTTGTATCATGGTTGTGTACTGCTGCGCTGTAACAACTGAATGTAGAATCTGTTGAAGGAGCAGAATTCATAGTAATCCCTTTGGGCAAGCATTGGCAAGATTCAGCGTCCACCTCCCCAAGGTCATTACGTCCAATCTCTGTCAGTGTCAGCATGTGTCGTTTGTTCCATCTCCTTTTCTTTAGTTTTCATTGTGAACTGAAACGAAGCACAAACTCCTGGAAGAAACTATATCATAATAGTAATTAGGGATGCAACGGTACAATATTTATTGCAATATTTTGGAGAGGCTAATATAATTTTAGATGGGACTCTTTATTGCTTTTAAAATACCTTGACAAGATTTTGATGTCAGTTATTACTGTCATAATCCCAAGAATTTAAGTAAAAAACATGCACTAAAAAGAATCATGGGATATGTAATTCCCTATGTTTATAAGCTGTTGCTACTATACAGCCACCCATTTACGCAAAGGAACTTGTAATTTGATATATTGTGACAGCCCACGACATTATTGTGAGACTTTTGATGATATGATATCACAATATTTCGGTTATTCTTACATCCCTAATAGTTATGCATTTAATACAGCCATTTTCATGTTGCTGTACAATAGTATTGCTTTTCATTCAGTCCCATACTCAGTGATAGCTACAGCTACTTCTGTATACATATAGCTTTGCCCAAGGGCCCAACAACAATATGCAATAAATTAGTTGAAGTATAACTCATAATTCAGCTGTTAAGTTCCTTTATTACTTAAGTTAAGTTCCTAAATTACTCTTGTGAGCTTTAAGCCATGTTAGAATATTGTTAATGGGTCAAAAACATTCTGGTTGTGTTTTGTTTTATTCACATGTTTGAATAATCCTTTATTATTAGTCTGTCTACATTTCCAAAGCTCAAAACGCTCTGTTCCACCTTTGATGAAGTTATGAAGTGGTAGTTAAAAACTACCTTTTCTTTTATGTTCAGTAGAGATTGGCAATACCAGGGTTAAAATTATCCAGGTGTATAGAGTTTATAAACACAATGGAGTACTTCCTGTATAAGCACATGACATCACAAGGTGGAACAGAGTGTTTTCAGTTCAAGAGAAGAACTCAGCCTAAATATGTAGGGTTTGAGTGTTAAACGTGTGAATGAAACCAAACATAACTCTGGGTAGGTTTCTGATGAGGAAAAACACTATAACATAGATCAGAAAGTGATGTAATATGAACACTTTAAATAGGACCAACTTGTGTTAGATTTTTTTTCTGAAAACATTTACTTAAGTTAAGAATAGATCATAACAGATTTCACAGTTGTAAGGCCCTGCTCAGACCAAACTTTGGTTCTCCGCTCTCCATCTCCTGCTTGATCACACCTGCTGTTTGTTTAGGGAAGAGGTGTTCAGGTGAGCAGTTTCCACGGCAGCCCGGTTGCCAGGCAGCACTTCCGGCTGGCTCTTCTTGTCGGGAGGGGCCAGGTATTTTAGGAAATGCTGGTGTGAAGTGGAGGAGGTGGCGCAGCCAGATTGAGAAAGCAATATGGATCTATTTCTAAACAGCGCTGGCCATATGAGGGACTCTTTCCCTCTTCTCCGCCACACCCAAGTCATGTGACCACAGCTGAGTGTGTGGGTTTGCGTGCACGGGGCTAGCAGAGCAGTTGGCCAGCAGCAGGTTAGTCTGTTAGGATTGGGCACACACACACACATTGGCACACATACACACCACGGATGCTAACGTCTAGATCCCATTAACCAAGCGGATAGCCACTGACACTGACTTGTGTGACCTGCCCTGAGCTAATGAGGAGTGGATGTGCACAAACACCTCCTCAGTGTTCTACCGCACAGGGCTGCATGCTTGTGCTGTGTGGCAGTGTGCTCCTTTCACTGTGATTATGAGTAGTACAGCCATGTGATGTAATACTGCGTTTAGATCTGGCGTTCAGTTGACCCATGAGAGCTGCTTTACATTTTGTGGCAGTTATGGAGATTACAGTGGGATGTCCTGGGATGTCCTGTTTTCATTTTTTTGTGTCTTATCTTATGTAATGCTTGGACATGGAAATATCTGGGTATCTGGTGCGTTGCTACGGTGACTCCAGAAATGTTTATTGTGTCTCAACAGCAGACTGCAATTTCCCCAAAATTGCAGATTTGGCAATACCCGTTTTCAGAAATTAAAATGAATTCTATGCGTAGAAATCAGAAAACAGATTAAACTCCACTGTAGCTCCTTTCTACATAGCCACACTCACTGTCAACAGTAAGCACAATTCATATCCCGTTATAATGTGGTTTAGTCACCTGGAAACATGAGCCTGTTAAAGGATCAAAAAGGCAAGGCAAGTTTATTTGTATTGCACAATTAGACATAAAGTAATTCAGAGCTTTACAGAATAAAAAAGATACAGTGTAGAATAAAAGCCTTTCAGTCAAATGCACAGAAGTGTTTTGACTGAGCCTGGATTTAAACCTTGTCAAAATAGACACCTGTCTCACATGTTCAGGAAGACTGCTCCAGGTTTTAGCTGCATAAAACTGAAAAACTGATTCCTTATGTTTAGTCCTGTCTCTGGGCACCAGCAGGAGGCTGGTCCCTGAGGTCCTCAGCATGTGAGATGGTTCATATGGCAGATGCACTTTGATGGTAAGCTATGGAGAGACTTGAAAGCACTAACCTGTTGTGTGATATATGAAGCAGTTCTTCTATATAATCAATGCTTTTTTTATTATGTAATATTTTATACTTGATTGTTTTAATTGTTTTATTAGAGTCTAGGTTCATATGGGTTTTATTTTATTTATTCACTGAAGATGGGAAACACTTGCTAAAAATCTAAAATTAAAAACTGTAGGTGATGCATAAAACTGAAAACATTAGTGTGTTTTTTGTTTGTTTTTTTCACATTCTGTTCCTCTAGCTATATTTTCTATATTATATCAGTGACTGTGTGTTAAGGCCTTTATATTCATTTACTATAGAGGTTAATAAATATCTACACTCACTTGCTCCATGTTGTGTTATGTACTGTAATGTGTTTGTGAGCGTTAGATCGTTGGACAAAGTCATACACATAATATCCTGCTGACAATGAACAGCTGGAGCTCCTTTTAACAAAGTGCATTTTCAGCCTGTATGCAGTTGGCCTATCTCTGTTGAATAATGTGTTAAAACATGATTGGTAAATATCAGCTTTACTTATTGTATAAGCATCAAAGCAATTTCTTAAATATGTCATTTGCTGACTATGAAGTTGCAGTCAACAATATGCAATAATATGTGATAATAATGTGACCTGTGATATTCAAAGAGGGGCTATTTTACTTCTAGGGAGTATTCATTGCTATAACACATAACATATTTAGATCACCATGTTACCTTCTGAGCTTTATCACAACATAATCAGCATGTGTCATATTAATTTCTTGAACATAAACAATACAGTATAGGACTTTTAATCATTGTCATTTAACAAAAAAATTGTGACATTTCCAACTCATTTGTGCTCCAGAGGAGGAGTATAAGATGATAATGATGATACAGTGTAGAATTCAGTCCTCTTGTTCCTGGCCGTCTGTGTCAGATCCTGCAGTTTACTGTAAATCACATTATAGCTAAGACGGGCTTTTCTTGTGTCACACTCATCCTTCCCTAATGAAGGGCTCACGGATCCCCTGAAACTGAACAGTTTAGAAATCTAACTCAATTCTTAAAAAATAAATAAATAAAACACAGACATTAAAAAAGAAAAATATATATAAATAAAAAAAAAAAAAAAAAAAGATAAAGCAACTTTTTGAGACCTCCTCTTAATTTATGGTTACATTGTAATGAGGAACATTTTTAACCTGGGGAATGCAAGAGCCATACGTTTGCTACAGTTCTTTTATTTTTATAGTAGTTTATAGTTCCACAGTGCATCGTTTTTGTTTAACATTTGAGCAGAAACCCACTGGACCACATGGTGGAGCCAGACTACAGCTTCACTATAACTTAATAGGTCTATTTCTACCTTGTAGTCCACAGTGAAGCAGACACATCTTATTCTAACTAAGCTAATTCCAGTGTACATTAATAATAACATAGTTACAATTGATGATGTTTTCATTTTTTTATAAACCTTTGTAAATCCAAAATCAGGTTTTACCGCAGAGAATTTATGTTTTGCACTCAAAAAAGACTAGAAAGATAGATAGCTAGATAGCTACATAGATAAATAGATACATACATACATACATACACACATACATACATAGAAAGATATTTAAAGCATCCTGAGGGAAATTCAAGTTTACATACAGCAACTATTGCGCATCTCAGTCGTCCTTGTGTTTCAGTCAAAGGTCTCAATGTGCATTAACAGGAGAATTGGTCAGATAGGCTCAGCAGATCCTGTGTCAGTGCCGGTGAGTAGCAATCATCAGGACAAAAGTGTAAATCTTTTGCAGCGTCATAGCAGCCTCCAAGGGGAACCAGTTGATCTTCTTCTCATTCCAATCTGTTGTTTCAGTCAGTGATGAAATGGTTCATTCCCTCGAAGAGAGAATTTCTGGACAGTTTTAGAGTATTTCCACTGGAAGGTCTTCTGCCACATTTGGTGTAAAAAACAAATTTAGTGTAAAAGGTTTGTAGCATCTCAGAGGTTCATTGCTAGTTCCTTAGCAAGCTTCTTGCACAGTCTCAGTGGATACAGGAAAACAAACAGCTCATTTCACACAGTCCAGTAGTCATTCAAGTTATGTCCTTTGAACTGCACATATTGTGCTTCTTGGTTAAAATCCCAAGATAAGGTGTTAAAAACTGAGCTCAAAAAGGTTTCAAATACTATACTTCTTGAAATTATGTTTTTAATTTTGGACTTCAAAGGCTGCTGTACCTGCTGATGTAGTTACTTTTCAGTCTGTCAGTTCTCAATATTACATATGGTGTAGCTTGGTTTTCGTCATGGACACATATGGATGGAGGTGTGCTATGGGGGCTGCAGCCTGTTGCTTGGGTGATTTCCACATGACGCCCCACAAGCACACACACGCAGGCACACACACACGCACATGCACACACACGCGCACACACACACACACACACACACACACACACACACACACACACACACACACACACCCACACACACATACTGAGCCCGGTGAACATAGGTCACAGACACACAGAAAGAGCTAGACTGTTGCACTACAGTTGTACACCTTTAAAAAGAGGGCTAAAGTCATGGCACCATTTTGGGCTTAGCCCCTTACTCAAATAAACAGCAGAAGTTTTCACAGAGTTTGTCTGTTTAGGAAGGGATAAAATATTGCAATATAATTATTTTAAATATTTTTTAAACATGATTTCACTGCTCTGATTTTAGTAGATTCCAGAAAATTGCTTATAAATTTTAATTTAAAACATTTTTGTGTAACTATCTTAAGATTATTTTTGTTTTTGCTAATAGACATTGCATTGGTTCGTGTAATGTGAGAGATTTGCTGTAATATATTTTTCAGTGCTCTGGTGCGGTTTTGCCAGAGTGCGAGGAGGCCTATATTGCAATGGCAATATTTGATGGCCTTCTGTGTGGAAGTAAGTTGACTATACCTCATTTGTGCCTTTCTGATTGTATGCTGTTCTAATATTGTGTACTCCTACTTGAGCTTGTTTTTCCATGTAATCAAAATGACATGGCGCCATTCTCTCTACTCTTAAGTTGGATTAAATACAGCTCATAAGTGTGTTTTTGTAAGTACCAAAGTAGTGGTTCTCATTACAAGAATGGGTTTTGTTCTATTCAGGGGTTATTAGTGGTAACTTCATTAAAAGCAGCTCTGAAAAGACAAGCTTACAAAGAGAGAAGGAGCAAGGCTGTGTGACGTGAGGCTCAGGTCAGGAGGGACAGAAAGCATCAGGTGTGACTGCTTTATCTCAGAGCGGTCAATGCAAAACCCACACCAAAAGCAGCCTGGGTTTTCAATACATGTTATCTTCCAAACTACAAATAGTGAAGTGAATGCTAATGCGACACAGGGCCTAAATAATGAATGAGCTTTCTGGGAGTAGCATTTTGTACAAGGTTAACATTGATCAGGCCTTTTTTGCCGCTGTGCACGGTGCACACCTGCCCACACATTAAGTAAATGTCAGCGTGCCTTTATGTGTAATTAATGACGTCTGCTGTTGCGTTTTGTCTTGTTTGCAGAGAAGGAGCGTGACTCACCTGTCTCTCTGCACCTCCGCTGCCCGTCATGGAGGACTCACGCTAACGGTGGAAGGGACCAGGCAGGAGCAGGAGCAGCAGCCAGCCTCATGAGCTCACCGCACACCTCGGGTAAGCACAGCTGCAGTGAGGCTGGCCGGAAGTGCATGCTGAACTTTAGAAGTCCCAAGTGTTTGGAGGAAAGCTGTTTAGTACGACTGCACAATATGAGGATATTTGAATAACTAATACTTTAATATGCTTCTTGACACAATTATTTAATGTGGCCAAACCTCCTTGTCAAAGCCTGATCTCGTCAGATCTCTGAAGTTAAGCAAGGCTGGGCCTGGCTGGTACTTGGTTGGGACACTGGGAATACCAGGTGCCACAGTGGAGTGCAAACTTGTGTCATTGGCAAGACACTTCATTCACATTTGTTAGTGTGAATGCGGTGTGTGCGCAAGTGTTGGTTGGATTGGCCGATTGCACTGATTGGCAGCCTCTCTTCCCTCAGCCTGCCTTAGAGCAGCTGTGGCTACAATAGTAGTTTACTACCACCAAGTGTGGAGTGGATGAATAATGCACAAAACTGTAAAGCGACTTTCAGCGTCTAGAAAAGCACTATATAAGACTAATGCATCACTATTAAATCAAAACAAAAAACATAACACGCGTGTCAAATTAAAAACTAAACCAAGAAGTAAAATATGCTAATTTAGTTCATAATATGGAAAATCATTAATAAAATCTTCTTTTAAACTATTTACCTTCAAAAAACAGTTTATTTCTGCCATATGGAGAACTTTGTGTTGTTGTGATATGTTTATTTTCTTGAGATTTCTATTGCATGAGCCAATATGGAAATATTGATATTTCTGTAGCAGCCCTAGCCCTACCATTTATCTATAACAACGTTACTAATACATTATTTGTATATGTACTGTTATGAATAATGTAATTAATGACTCACTATGCATCAGCATCAGTGATTTATCAGAACCCACTCTCATTTTTGGGACTTGAACAGGAGTAAGACGAGACTTTAATGACAACGATTGGCTGAAAAGAGATCGACTGTAAAGGTGACCAATCAGCAGTGGCATTGTAGCCAATAATTTCCTGACATTTGATTGGTTTATTGGCATAGACAGACCATATTCTTCTCTCTGATTCTAAGGCATATGAGGAAATAAGTGGAGACGAAACTCACTGAGATCCTGTAACACACTTAACACTAACTACTTGTTTTTACAGTGACTTGCCCAACGCATTTCCTCTTTGGTGTATAGCACCGGAGCCTAGTTAATTCCTGTGATATAATTTAAAGGACACATTTGCCAAATGGACTTTTAATCGCAGAATTTTAATCACAAAATGTGTCTGCATAGAGTTGTGAATCACACTGTTTTTAGCTGTTCAGTTCTCTGCAAGCAACATAGACAAAAAACAGCACAGAACACTGAAGATGACCACATGTTTACAGCTAGAGTGGGGCTGTTTCATATGGATTCTGTGCAGTGTATCAGATCACGCACTGAGTGTGTATGAGTGAGTGTGTAGGATTCTATTTAAACACTGCTCAGTAACTCAGTTAGAGTTCATCACTGTGGCATCATGGGGGCTTTATTGTTGTAACAAAGTCACTATCCTTTATGCAGAGGGCTGTTGTTTTGTGAACTCATGTTTGTTGTCATTGTTTGTGATATTTTTATTACACATTCTATATAGGAAATAATGCTTGAACCACCAATGTCCAGTCCAAATGACGGATTGTCGGCAGTCCAAACTTTAGTTAATTGTAGTTGTATTTATGCACAAAAGAAACAAAGTTTGACTTGATTGTTGGGTGTAGAATTATTTTTTCAATTAAAGGTAAAAAAAAAAAAAAAGATCTTTTAGATATCTCTTTGTTTAGTGTGTCCTTTTTATGATCAGAATTTTAGCAGGTGACTTGCATAGTGCAACACCTATAGCATGTTTTGGCTCACAGTGTGACATATCTACCGCTGGGTCCTGGGGTGAAGGCTTGACTGACTGGCTGTAACTCGGTCGTCATGGATACAAATATAGTACATACAGGCGGAGTACAGACAGCCGCAGCACAGACTCCTGGGGTTGATGCGCCTCAAATAGAAACGCAAAGATGAGTCATCGGCCGGGCTGCTGCAGTGCTCACCTTTAACAGATGTGTTTAGTATGGTTCTGCAGGCACCTGGTCACTCACCTGCTCCTGTCTGCTGTGACGCTGGAGCTCTGAGCCTGGGCCAGACAGCCAATCATCAATGAATTATTAGACCTAACAGGACTGTGAGTTTGACACGGTGTCAGAATGGATGTTGTATACTTGTCTTGATGCCTGTTGTGTTCTTGTGAGTCATAGTGAGACATCCCTGAAGCTGCTGGAGGATACTGAGCTGTTTACACCGAGCTGAGGCAGAGGAGGAGGGAGGTGATGAAGAGGAGGTGGGATGAATGCACCAGGGAGTGATAGGAAAGCAAACAGGAGAATATTTGGGCTAGTGTCAGAAAGTTCACTTGCTATTTTTATGCACTATTCTAATATCAGTCTAGGAATTGCTTTGCAGAAATGTAGGTGTTTATTATAAATTTGTGTATTTATATGAAAGGGAGGTATTACAGGGAGTATTCATTATTAACAGATAACATATTAAGATCACCGTGTTACTTTTACTGTTCTGAAAATCCGATATTAGATGCAGACAATGTAAAATCTCAAATAATTTTCAGTTTTATTTTTTGACGATCCCCCTGCTCTCCATACTGCCTCTTCAGGGGGCTATTACAACTCCAACAGCGTGCATTTTCCTAATGAAACAACTTCACATCGCATCAGGTTTGTCGAGATGTAGTGTACTGTTTTGTATATTTATGAAAAATGGCTTTGTAGGAACATGAGTTACGTATGCTTGTGGACTGAGCATTGCACAGGGTAGTACTGCCCTAAGTGACCACACCTGCACAGATAAAACATTTTGAAGTACAGTATATTGATACAGAGAAACGATAAGCGAAAATATTGAGACTACTGACACAACAACAAAAACACAAGTAGGGCCCAACCCATATGGAAATTTTTTTGGTGCTGATATGATACCGATTTCGCATTGGTTGCCGTTGCACATTTGAACTGCACAATCACTGAAGCACTTCAAATCCTTGCTCACCATTTTTCTCCTTGGCATTTTCCCAGAGTTAGGAAGAGACACCTTAGCACCTTGCTGTTATTATTATTTTTATTTTTATCATTATTATTCTGGTTGATTTGCCTATTGTATGTTTTATTTCACTGTTCAGCAGTTTGGTAAGCGTTGACTGTTTAAAATGTGCTATACAAATAAATTAGATTTGATCTAACAGGCTTTGGAGGTGCTGATAGCCGATATAACAACTGATATATTTTGTGACGTTAAAATTCACTGTAAATCTTCAACTGCTTATAAAACTTAGGTTTGTTTGGTTAGATTTTAAGTTGGGTTTGTTTAGGCTACATTTACTGTTATTTTGCCTCTTTACAGTCATATTTAAAGACAGTAGGTAGACCTAATGGCATTTGTGCATGACATTCTAGCCTGTGAACAAAGTAAAAACTACCGCTGTCAGCCTTTAGCAGTAAATGCCTGCACGCCGCAGTAATTAATTATATGTGTAAATGCGGATCATTCACATCTCTATTTACGCCCATATCTGTATGTGTCTCATGGCATTTTACCTAATCTAGTTAACATTAGCACTTAAGCCCATTTCTGTTGCATATTTTGACCAAAAATTGTGAATGTTTGTATCATTTGGTGATATGGTTATTGTGCACGGGTTTTAATTATAATGTAGTAAAGCAGTGATCCCAATATGGTTATTCTCTATACTAGTCACCCCACTTTTCAATATTAAAAATTAACTAACTGGCAGTATACCAAATGCTGTAATACTTTTTATACACCAGAAACCTTCACTTTCATTTTGTGATAAGCAATATTTCTCCATTAGCTATTTGTCTGTCACTATACAGAAATATCGTTTTACCAAATCATGCACAGTTTGACATTGAACCAGTGCTATCTGTGCATTCTGCTCATCGTTATAAGTCCTTTTTTGCTTGGGACTCAAGTGAATGGAACAAACAAAGCCTATAAATAGCAGCCAGCACTTTCAATTAATAATATGCACACTGACACTGAAGTGAGTGCTGCCTCGTCTTCTGCTTCTAAAATAGGCTTTCCCGTGGTTTTCCGTGGTTTTCCGTGGACGTTCCCTAGCGGCACTACACCACCTGATCAAGTACACGACGACTGTTTTATATTGACTTAAATATTAATACAGACTTATTTTAGCTTTATTTTGTAAGTGCCTGGCTGCAGTATTTGGCCTGGCTATTTGTGGATCCCTTTAATGCATTATGTACATGGTAATAGAACTAAAGACAAGTGCACATGCATGGTAAGCATTAACGTTTGATATGCTAGAATATAAGAACTGCTAAAGTAATACCAGAACCACATCAGTGCTCAGAGATATGATGAAAAAAGAAGGATTTGAGATTGAAGATTTTTTTTTTCTTGTATTTGCTTGACTGATCACAATTGTTGCTTGGATTTTATTTTTTCTTGTCAAAACACAGGAAAATTGCTTTCAATATTCATTTTATGAAAACAAACAAAAAAAAAAGACAGACTTTAATCAGTGCCATTTAATACAACAACAAGAAACAGTCGAACTCTATTTCAAACCCGACTTGATTCAAATTAATTTAATTAACTAGCCCTAAATCAGAAGCTTTTAAGAACAACCTAAGCTACAGGGTTAGTTTATTTAATTAATTTCATTATAGTTTTTTTTTATATTGGAGGCTTGTTATTAGTTGTCTGTGGAAAAATTTTTAAAAATTCATTGTAGTGTTGTGACAATATTAAAATTCCAAATGCGATTTTGATAATAAGGATTAGGCTCAATACTCAATACCAATTCTGATGCCACAATGATAATAAAAAAAACAATTTTTTTCAGACAGCTAAATGTAATTTTCAGCATTGTATCATAGTACTTTCTTTTATAGTGCCATTACTAGTGATCCTGGTATGTAGTGGTCCATGTGCGTATTCTAATCTATGTGGTCT